GTCTTGCAGGACATTTATTATCTCAGGATAAACCCCTTGAAATGTATCATTTTGTTTTTAAGGGGGTCCCAAACAAACACTCAGAAATGGAAACCAGAACGGTACAAGAAACAATATTATATATAACACCACAAACAAACAACAAACTAGATAACAAAACAGAAAAGAACAAAATAAGAGAGTTACTACCTTGGACTAGACACAATCAGTAGAAAAGAAAAATGATCAATTTATAGATAAAAGAATAGTGATAGCATTACTGAAAATATGAAGGCAGTCTGTTTTAAGATGAGAAAATAAAACATATTTAATAATTACATACCCCCCCCCCCCCCACACACACACACACCATCAGTAGTATTTCCTTCCTTTTTTTAGTTTAGTTTAGTTTTCTTTTACCCTGCCCTCAAAGTTCACCTTCATTACTAAAAGGATGGCAGTCTGATCCTTGAGAACTAATGAATTCAGACTTATCCACAGAAATGGCTGATTCAGCTTTGGCAGTTGGAAACAACAATAACAAAGGATACCCTTGGGCTTTTGTGTACACGGACATTGTCGCTAAAGCACCGGTCCAAAGCATAGAACAAGGGGAAACAAATATCTTGCACACAATGACCCATTCAAATGGCATGTTATCAATTATGTTTATCAGAAGACCAGTGTCATTCTGTGTTTATGAATGCATGTCATTTTGAAAGATCTTGCGGAAGGTCTTTTTAAAGTTTCACCCCCTGCAACAACTAAATTTCATTTTAATAATGGAATGAATCAAAATAACTTACTGGAAAGACTGTCATCTCACAGCAACAATAACATAAATTAAGAAAAACAAAAGATGAGAATCTATTACTGTGACTGGTGTGGCACTGCATGCATTAGTAAGTGTTCTAAGTATTCATTTTTGGAATACTTTTTAGAAGTGTGCCTTTTATTATGCATTATAGGTAGTAATAATTAACATGCAATTAAAAAGCACTTGGCTTGTGTACTGCACAATGTTTTAGCAACAAAATGAAAAACTATATACTTTGTGAAGTGTATAGGAAAAACTGTGCTGTCGAAAGGCGCTTTCTACAGCCAGTGTATGGTTTGTCCACTCTGGGATACTGTAGAAACATGGTGGTTCAACATGACTGATCTCAAATCTGACCTGCAGAGGTTGTAGCTAATTCTAAGCTAATGAAAACACAATGACTCCTACATTCAGGTGATTATACACTCATTAACCTATACATATTATATTATATTTCTGCCAGTATATCCTCAAATGTTTCACACTGGACCTTTAAATGTGTATGGATTTTTTCTTATAGTTGCATTGCAGATCAGACAGCTATGTGTTTTCCTTTGTTTTCCATGGGGTGAAATATTTTCTCCTAATGAAGTGTCAAGCTTTGTAACCCCTCTTTATTTACTTCAAGTTAACCTCTTAACGCATTTTCCTACATCTGCCTGATCTCAAAAGCATGATTTGCAATATGACCTTTATGGCCCTGTAGTGGGCAGAGCTGGAAAAAAAGAGTCAAATAATTATGACATTTTTGTCAAAACTGTATCTGAAAGTAAACCATGCTGATCACCCTTGGTTGCCCTCGCTACATTTTGAGAGGCAACACTTTGTCACATCCTTTACAGTATCCTAATTAAGGGGAAATGAATTATCTCTATATGCATTAACTGTCAGTGTAAATTTACAAAAGCTTTTACACAAGTTTACACAAGAAAACCTGCAAAAAAATGCCATTCAACTCTGATTAATGACTTGAGAATGAATGCTATAGTAAGGAGCCATCTCAGGCACTTTGTTATTTTTTGAGTTTACCTCTGGTAAAGTAAATACCTCACAAGCAATTGATAAACTTCAATTAAGAGAGATTAACATGGAAGTACAAAGCCTCTGCATTACTTGTGCTTTCATTTTAACAGTCTTTTAAATAAAGAGGATTAAAATAGCAATAAAAGAAAACCATGGCTCTGCATTAACTAGGAGTGATTAAGTAGTCATACAGAAAAAAAGACGAAAAGAGAGGGAGGACGTAGAGACAGAGAAACAAAAACATTCAAGACAGCCACTGATTTATTAAAATGTCAGCAATGAGTCAATAAATGGCACCACATTTCAGTGTGACACGCTCTCCGTTTACAAAAAAAACAGAACACCTTGAAGTATATTTTTCAGCCAAAGCCCTTAATCAAACAATGGTGATCTCCCTTCCCTTTGTTCTAGTGGTCCCCAACCTAAGGTAAAAAGATTAGAGCAAAGGTCTGGAGCACTGCCAACTTGCTGCAAGGGATATAATTAGCCTCAGGGGTCTTTTTTGGACCTGAACCCCTCCATTCCCCTCCTTCATGACTAATTCACAAGACCTTGATTCTCCTTTGGCATCTGAGGGTAAGCCTGCAAGCCATGCAAACGCTCAGATGCGTAAAATTCACCATGAATTTTCTTCTCAGAGCTTTTTAATGACAGGACTTCATTATTGTTTTAAAACGTTGATGTGCTTACTGTTTTCCTGTTTGATTGCATCTTGCTGCTCTTGCAGTTGAAATAAATGAAAGCAAAACAAAGGTTTTTGCCACTTATTACGCATTTTCTTGCGGGTTGGCAGTTCACGGAAGGTCTCAGAGGAGCTGTTTGGCTCTCAAGGACACACTGCAAATCATTATGAAGAAAAGCAGAAAAATGGAAAACACACAGAGCTGTATCTGTTCTTTGGCAGTGATAAAGGTCTTTCTCTATGTGTTTGTAAATATTTATGTTATGTTACTTCCTAGCCCATCAAAGTCAAGAGGAAAGAAGTTCCTCTGATATGGCACATGGAGGAGTTTGGGCTGATATTGAGTTATGAAAGATGGAGGGGAGAGTTTTAGATTTATTCTGCTGTCAGCTCGGAGACGGGAGGCTGTGTGTGTGTGTGCACTGGTGGATGTATGTGTGTGTGTGTGTAAGCACTTGTGTATATGCCTATGTATTCCTGTGTGCGTGTGTGTGCATAGGTGTGTGGGGCCGTAGCTGTCTTCCAAGTCGATAGACACACTCTGTCACCACTGGCAAGTAATTGACAGCTTGGAGTTTGCAGTGACACAGGCCTTGCATATATTTCCTCCATTACCTTGTGTGTATGTGTGTGTATGTGTCAGCCTGGAGTTCTCCCTGGCAGTGCATTCAGGAGTCAGCTAGCTCGGCAGGGGATTAAACAAACACCTTCTATTCAGGCTTATGGAGAAGAATGATAAACTCTCTCACCCTCAATCAGCCAAATAGGTAATAAAGGCTTCCCCTTTCTCATTGCTGATTAGTGGTTTAAATACACTAGGGCCAACTACTGCACTTCCCGCTGCTGTACATTGCTTGCAATCCAAATTCAAGCATTTGCAAATAATTTGTTTCTTTATTTTAATTACTCTGAGTAGTCAGTGTAGGGTTTGCCAAATCAGGAAAGCACGGTGTCAAGGGGATTAAAAGAAAAACTAAGAATTATTTGCATCTGCTGTGTATGGCAGCTGTTCACTCCTACATTGGACTATCAAATGAAATGTCTGTTTCATACGTATGAAAACTCTCAAGGACATTATGAAGGCTTTGGAGCCTAAAATGTCCTTAATTGAATGCAGTTTAATGGCTGAATTGATCAAATTCATTGTCAGCGACCTTGTGTAAGAATACACATCTTGAATTGTCAGTGACTCTTTTTTCCCTACTTGACACTGCAATCAAATGGCAGGTTTCTGTGAAAAGCAGTATGTCACAGCAGCCAAACTTTGAAGGATGTGAACAAGAAGAGAAAGAAGGCCAGTAGTAGAAAGGAGGAAAGTGCTGTTGCAACAGACATTTTTAGCTCGCTGTAGAAGTATCCATAATTATTCACTCATATCCATTTGCAGGGGGCTTGGCAGCCAGAGAAACGTTATGCCGCAATTTGTCTTCCCCTCTCTCTTTTTCTCCTGCTGCCTTCTCCCCTACAAATCGTTAGTTTCACTTTTCATTAGGCTGGATCAATAAGGCGGATCAGTCGCTCGTGGCGAGGATACTGCATGGCAGACACCACTCTCTCTCTAAACTCTTTCTTCTCCTCATTCCTTTTCCCTTGTTCTCTTTTGCTCTGTCATTGTCTCTCACTATATCTTTACAGAAATCTTCCAGAGAGGAAGGTTGTGGGGCGGGGGTGGTAGACAGGAAGCAGCGGGAAGCTTGAAGGGCCCGAGAAAGAGACGCTATCCAGCGATTGCACCAGTGCTACTCAATAAGGCTGAAATGGCAACGCTGAAAGATAACCCAATAAAGTTTAATTAAGAACCAGTAACCTCTCAAGCTTTACAGTAATAATGGAAATGGAGGCTGCATGCAGGGGAAGGAAATTAAAGTGCAAATGTAAGGGTCTGTAAAAGTTTAGTCATATTGACACTGTGTGCCAAATGGGAAACATTAGCATTGATTTAATTCCTTTCTGATGGTTTTAACACAAAATATGTCTTTTGTTCTCGCAATTTGCTGCCGACACTTTATCATGTTTCAAAACTGCAGCGTGAATATCTGTTTTTGTGTGTGTACTGGTGAAGTAAAAAAGGATGGATACTTTTATTGTTGTGAAGAACCACTTTCATTAGGGCACCTTGAGCTGTGGTAGTACTTCTGTGCACTCTTTAGGCTCAAGAGTGTCGAATTGAGTTGAATATTTGGGATGATGCATATAAGCTATTTGTCCTGTTCTTCCTCAGAACACCTGAACGTTGATCTGTGTACCAAACAAAAGCAGAACGCCGCTTTTGTTTGTTCTAATGAAAGATCATATATTACGCACATAGCCAAGAGAACAATAAAGGTGAAGTCATGTGGTTTCAATGTTGACTTTGTCATCAAACTAGCATGAAAAACAAATGAGTGTGAGAAGCCAGTGATGCCTGTTCCATGAGCTGCTTTGCACCTCAGCATTTGGAGGTAGTTGGCTAGTACAGCGATGTTGTTTGGAGTGTGTGTGTGTTTAATTCGGACTCACCGAGCACAGTGAGACGGGCAGGACGAGACCTCATGGCAGCCTGGACAGCCTGGCACTCAAACACAGCGTCATCCATCAGCTCGGCACGCTGAATTTGCAAATGATGTTCTCCTGAACCGTGGTCGCCAGTCACTGTGTAACGAGGATAGCCTGCAGCGCAAACACATTTGTTCGTTTTAATCACCTTCTAAATCAAAATACTGCTCATTTGTCAACTACAAGAAGGTACATTTGATATTTTGAAGCTTTGCATACTTACAGAAACAAGAAAAAACAACAAAACATACAAACAAGCTAGCAGCAGATGTGAGTATTATAGATTATAGATGAGTAAAGCTTTTAATTGTTCATCTGCTAATTTACTCACAATGCATTGTCACACAAGGTTAAAACATGAATTGTATACATGTTTTTATGGTACTCCTGGCAATGTTAATGAGCTGTTGTGAAGGTTACTGCATTCTGGAGAATGATGTTTTACTGCAACCGTAAACAGGAACAGCAAGAGTTTGAGTTGTTTCAGCATTGCTTTGTGAAATGATTTATAGTTTAATAATGCAAGAAAGCAGAGCAATATCCAAGAGACCTGGGCGTTTTACACAAGTCAAGCGAGATGGTTTTAAAGATATCCCCTTAACTATTATCGAAATATGCAATGCAAGTTTGTGGTGGAGTGCATCCCTCCACTGGGGCAAATAAGCAAGAAGAAGAATGTGTTTGACTGGGAAGCTTTATGGGGTATTTCTTATGCCTTCTTATTGAAATTGCTCGTCTCTGAAAATCCCTTTTCTTTCTCTCTCACTCCATCTTTCTAATTATTAGGGATACAGTATGTGGATTGAAATGAGAATGTCTGTTCATAAAACCTGCACTGCAAAAAATCTAAAGAATTTCAGGCAAAGAATTGCTTTTTCCTCCAGTGGTCCTTAAGTAATTGATCAATGATGAAAGTGAATATTGGAGAATTTTACAGCAGAACAAGGCTGGACTTTTAACAAATAACTTTGTCTTTTAAAAACAGAAAACTACACACTCCAGATTCACACACTTGTTTTTTTCTTTTTGAAAAGCCTATCATTACCCATCCAACAGTCGGGTTATGGCCAACAAATGTTGGGGTGTAAAACACTGATTTCTCAGCTAGCCAATGACTCATGTTCACTTCAGAGATCCCACGTCTCCCACTGTAAAGGTTTTACAGGCTGGTTATATGTTTTAGCCCCAAAAGAGAACATAACAGACAGGGCAGCCTTTTAACAGCGGTCAAGTCCTTAAATTTGTCTGCAGAAACCCATCGTATCATAAGTCCAATTACTGACTGTTGCTCCATTGAATTCAGTTGCCTTTAATAGAGCATGAAGTGGGCCTCATTTTATGCTGGTGGTGTGAGTTTCAACTGATTAAGCCGTCCTCCTACGTGTAGCCTTTAATCTTAAGGGTCTATACAGTAGGAGGATGAAGTAAAAAATAACACCTAACATAAACATTACAGCTGGGGAGAAAATAAAGAGTAGAGGAAGGCAAAATATGTGGCAAGCTAACTAAAAAGTCAGCAAAGATGGAAGCCGCACCAGTGGATGTTTTGTGGGAAAACTAGTCACACAGGTGATAAAATGTCAAAATTTCCCATTACGTGCTACAATGAATCCCATACCGAGGGATAGCAGGACTTCAGAAAAAACACTGTAAATGTAACAGGGTTAATAGAGACCTGATCACAACTAAAAGCTCCCATTAATAATATTAATAACGGTTGACTGAAAATGAGATTTCTGCTTGTTCATGCTCAGAACGATGCTTAAATAGAGAACCCACCATTATGTGCTCAAGGTCACCCAGGGAACCATTTTGCTTCAATTTTATGTTCATTGATGAGATTCAAAGCAATAATGCCATTGCGGATCACAAGGGTAATGATCATTGCACATTCTGAAGGATGTGACCTTGAGCTGACTCCAGTCCACCTACTGTAGGGACTGCCTATTGTACCAACCACAGAAACTGCACTTACTTCAAATGCACTTGTGTTTTTCTTGTCTTCATGTAGAAAGGTATAAGCCATGAAAATTTCTGTTACACAAACAGATGATCCGGCCAATTACCTCATCTGTGCCTCTGGCAAACGAAGAATAATTTTGCTGTGTGAGGATATGGCTTTGTTCCAGTTTCATCTCTGTGCATTAGATGGGTCCAAAAGGAAAAGCAATTTGCATTTGTGGCAGGCAGTAAATGATAAGAATATTATGATCTAATTTCCAAAGAACAGAAATGTTTTTGCCTCCTTATAAGCACCTTGATCATGCATTTTGTCAATATGACCAACATTATAATGGCGCAGATGAAGACTGATCACCACTGCACATGTGATGTGTAAGACACAATGTGTTACCTAAAGCAAACAATGTAAAATAGGCCCATTAAGGAGTAATGAATCCATCAGGGGGGAAATGGATTTGTCTTGAGGCTGGATCAATGGTCCACGTGCATGTGTGTGTGCATATAAGTATACAGAGACTTTAGGCGTGGGCTAGTGATTTATAGCATTCACCTAGAACATGTTTCACACACTGTAAGCACCAGGGGATGGAAAAAGGTTAGCTGAAGCTGTGAACAGGTGACTGGCATACAATTTGCTCTCATGAGAGGCAAGAGTGACACATGCTTGCTAACCGTTCTCCTCTGTTGCATTTCTTCTCAAGAGCTCATTCTCCTATATCCTTTATACACAGTGCATAATATATACAAACACTTCTCTCTCCATCTTTACTGTGTGTGCACCAGGAGAATTCACTTATAGCTGCTTTGTCTGCTTTCACCATCATCATGCATAGCAGATACGTTCTCTGTCATGCATATTCATGACATCAATTGGTATGTTCTGAGCGGTTGTGGGGCTACTTTACTTTTCTTTAATTAGAGTGGAAAAGCATGACACAAAAGGGAATGAATAGGAAATTCAGGGACAGATAGGAATCATTGGCTTTTGTGCAGTGATTTCTTGCACTGAATGGTGAAAGAGTTCTCTCGGTTTAATCACCACTCCTGTGAATGGAAACAGGTCCCAGGCGGAGCACAACGTTGCCGATGCAGCTTCTTTCTATGAATAGACGAGCAAACCTATATTATTGAAATGCTCCATGCAACATTTGATTCGTCATACTTTTTATGTATACAGCTGCCACTTTCCTTTCATTGTGTACATCTTGCAGTGGATGTACCATCACTCTTTTACTGTGCATTGCTTGTTTACGTAGGCAGGAGTGATAAAAAGGACAGCTGTGGAGCGCTTTATTTTGAAAAAGTGTCATCCCTCTCAATAGAAGGCACTCAGCCCCTGTCTGTATCATACAGTTGATTCTACCTATCTACTCCAGGCAGGCAGCTATTCCCCTTCATGCAAAACTCATTTTGCAATTTTAAAACGGTTTAAGAGAGAAAGATCACTACATGTTGGGCTTGACTACAGCCAAAGAAGAGGAAAATAATGGTTGTTAGAGAAGGGCAAATATTACAGTATTTTGTCCATGACTGTTAAACTATTCACTGAAACAGTGAACAAGGTTGATTTTCTGTTCTTCCCTTGAGTTTTTTGAACCAGAGTATTCTCGGTTCTATTCCTTCCTGTGTCTTTGGCCATTTTTGAAATGAGATTTCATCTTGATTGTCTTGTCTTGTTAAATCAATAAATATAGAAGAGCATAACAACAAACTCTACATCTCTGCTCCACTCTGACCCAGAATAAAATTGTGCACTCTCCTTCCACTCTCTCATTCTATCTCTAGCAATCATAAGTACTCTCCTTCTCTGCCTCCTCTTCCTCCAAAGGGGACTCGAAGATTGCAGGACCATTGTTTACTGCAACCCCTCAGCCTCCCCTGGGCCTGATAAGAACCTGAAGAGGGAATAGGGTGGCTTTATAGGGGCTCTGTCAGCCGCTGAGGTTTAATTACAGACCAAAACGGCGACAGGGAAGGCCTCTAAGAGCGTTTGCTAAAGGTCAGAGGGTAGAAGACTCCCAATCTCAAGTGAAATACATATTTAATCGTTTCTGATCATGAGAGACTTTGGTGTTTCAAAAATGGCTGCAGCTGAATATTTTGTCAATGTGCCTTGAATTGCAATTATTTCAATTTCTCATTGGTCACACAGAGGTGGTGTGTAAGACAACTTAGAAAGCTCTCAAATAAAGAATGTGCCCTAGAGTCATGTATCTTGCTTTGAGTGCTTGTGTACACATTCAAATGGATCTCTGTTTTGGAAGAATTTCAGTAAATGATGCAGGCGTACTAAGCTTTTATGGATGTTCTCATTCAATAGCTTAGTGATTCCAATGTTGTAAATGTTTATTTAGGGGAGTGATATGTTTCCTTGAAATTCATCAAAGTCATGAATATACATGACGCCTTGATTGGTGGAACAACAGGCTACTAAATGACAGTGCAGTAGTCACTTTTACTCCAAATTAAACAATTAAGGCAATTATACATGAGGTGCAGTGTAATTAGAGGACGCCAGTTACTCTTCAAAAAGCCATTTAGCAGCCTGAAGCACCAGAGAAAGACCAGTGCCACTATTGATTTCACATTTTATTTGGGTTTTTCTGCTCCTCTAGCAAACAGGGTATGAGAGATTTAGGTTTGCACCACAAAGACAGAAATGTATTTTTGATTCTATCTGGTCATGTTGAGTGATTAAATTTTTGTAACCCTCATAATATAATACTTTTTTTGTAACACAATATTATGAGATCTCTGCTATTTGTCTGTGGAAGGATATGTTTGGCAGAAGGTAGGATGTTGACATGTGGGGGCTTTAGATGATAAAAGAGCGTCCATTTGACAGTTCATCAGAGAGTGTTAATTAATAAGGGAAACGGAGGTTGAAGGAGAATTGCAGGGTGACACGCTCAAGGGAATAAATGTCATTCCTTACCAGAGAGGTCTCTGCCAACGCCCAGTGCCAGGCCATCTTTGATCCACAGGACAACACCATGGTAACCGGGGATGGTGCATGGTAGTGTCACAGGCTGGCCCGCCACTACCACCAGGTCCTGTGGCTGCTGGGAAAACATGGCCTCTGCCCCTTCAGAAAAAATGAAGAAGAGAAAGATTAGGCCTGACTCATTTATATGATTGTGTTATTTTATTTTAATCAGCAGAAGAAGGCATTGAAAATTCAAGATCAAAGAGGAGTGTAAGTGTGGTATTAAAAACACCTGCTTTCAGTGTTTCAAGTGCTGAATGAAGGGAAAATGAAGAGAAGTGCACCATATGCCCATTTCCCCCAATTTCACTCAAATCTCTTGTCAAAGTCATGTTGAAAGAACCCTAAAAGGTGATATACAAATGTGGCACATTCTTTTACAATTCATGATACGGAGACAAGATATAGTACACGCATCAGAGGTGTCAGGGCTGCACCAGGACGGAAGCGCAGGCTAAGAGACAGCCGTCACAGCTCAGCTTGGTTCATTTATGAAGGATGTCACCGTACAGATGGGCTGGGCTCGTACACACACACAGACACACACCACAGCAGATAACACGATCTTGTCTGCCAACGCTGCTCTAGTGGCATACATTAACTCGAGCTCACACCCATGTATTCCAACTGTGCAACTGCTATTAGCTGCACTCCTCTACCGCGTGTTCAGGCGTAAAGTGGTGTGCAGTGAACTCCATTAGAGGCAGAGGGTGTGTTAACAGTGGCGGTGGAGAGGGGGGTTAGTGTTGTGGATCAGAGTGGAGGGTACAGAGTGGTACTGATGTGTAGTTAGAAACACTGGCAGGCTGCCTATCAACTAAAGCCTACACACACTCACACACATACACACACTGACATCCATTCGCACAGACACAGTCTGATTTGAGAGCACGAACTGCAGCAAAGGTTTAAAAGTGTCACTTCCTCTCTCACACTTTAGTGAGACAGTTTTGTTCCCAGCTTTTTTCTTATTTTCAAACTTCTCAGTTCAATTGCTTGGCTCAGAATGTGTACCCTTTCCTCCAACCACTCAATATCCTTCTTTATCTTTTGTCTGTGTAGTAGCACATACACAGGCACACATACAAACAGAAGCATGTACTCCTCTTATGCTGAACTGGGCACACACAAAATGTCTAACTTAATAACATGCAAATAAAAATCTGATAGAAGAACAACATTTTGTGAATTAAAATAAGACAGCAAAGAACGAGAAAGTGTGTTTTCATCTTACAACGTCTTTGTATCACATTGTAGCTACTGTTTTTTGTGTGCTCAGTTTTATATTCAAAGGAAACTACTTATTCTATTGCAGGCAAGGAAATTGATTAGCTTTGTTGTACGATTTCAAAGCACATCAAAGAAAAGATTGTTGTCATACAAGAAACTGATTTTAATTTAGTTGGAAAATGCCATTAGAATCCCCACAAGTCATTTCTCAGTCTCGAACTAAATTTCAACGTGATGGATAGCTTGTTAAAGATGTAAGCAGAAGTTTTCATAATGATTCATGCACTCTCTTCCCTGCATACACTACATAAATACACAACCCTGTATACTGCCTCATTTTAATATAGATCTATTACTAAATATCAGAAAAGAACATGCTGTACTTCAAAGCATATAATGGGCTTTTCATCATCTTGAGACTTGAGTACTCTCCCTGGCTAACGAAGACCTTCATAAATGTACATGCACATTGTGGGTGATTCGGGCTAGATGAGACTTTATTTCACTATATATTGCCCTTCAAACCTAGACAGCTTTGTTCAGTCCCGATTGTTCCTACACGTGGAGCTTATCTCTGCTGCTACCCAGTCAGCAGCGCGCTAACATACAGCATAGACAGCTCCTCAACAGATCTCTTGGCATGTTCCGGAAAAACACTGTAAACGCCAGGGAATCTTGTATCTGCTCAGTCATGGCTGATATTATCAAACAGTTGAGCCTGTGCTGTAATTGATTTGACATTGGAGGGATCTCTCTGTTGGTAGCACACATGCCTACATTTTTCCTCCAACTCACTCCCTGTTCTTCTTCTCTGGACCCTTCGTGCCTTATGTGTCATCAAGAAGAAAATAGATCAGAGATTAATTTTCAGATGTAGACCACTGCCATCATGCTCACCAGGCAGAGCAGCACAGTATCCACTTCATAACAGCATTCAATTAGGTGAAAATCATTCTTAGCTGTTTAAAATGTTGTTGTATATTGTCTGCACAGTGACTGCATGATTTTAGCAGACAATTTGTAGTAAGAGCTCATGCTAATATTGTGTCACACGTTGCCCTGAAACTGTTGTAAACAAATATTAGACGACAGCCCCCTCACAAATATTAATTAACTGAATCGCACACACGTCTCTCACACAAATACACACATGTGAGCCATTACTTGTAGCTTTGCTTAAACTTGAGATGCATGACTTAAAGAGCCACTTCACTGATTTTGCAAATCAAGATCAGTTTACCCGTCACAGGGAGTACTACTCAGCTTGTGAAGACAGTTGTATAATGTCTATTTAAATAACCTGTCAAGATTTAAAATTTGTTTAAAATTCAAATGTTTTAAACTGGAGGTGTGGAGTTTAAAAGAAAAACAATTACCTTGCGGGGGGGGGTCTAACACATGAAGTCGCATTATGGGAATTGTAGGATCAGCAGCTTTGGATCTTGACCCATCCCACACTGGGGGACAAACGTTGGCCCCTGACTTAACGGCTGCTACAAGTGGCAAGGTTTCTATATAGCATAAAAACAACATTTACCACCAACATAATTTAGACTGAGCGCACCAAAACTGGGCTGCCAATGAAGAACACATGGTTTAATGCTCGGAATCCAGAGTATCTTAAATGTAACTTGCTCGTCTTGAATTGGGACTTGACACTTATTATGTTAAGCAAGTACTGTTAAAGCACATTTTCCTAAAAGTTTGTACTCTGCTGTCATTCCAAGATTGATGTCCTAGAAAAGGCTATTAAAATACACCAGTGACAGAAAGAATCAAAGACTTAACTGACACCAGCTTGTACTTGTCACTTGAGCAGTTAAAAAGTGACCTCCTTCATTCAATTTAAAGCCTGGCTGAGTCTTGCAACAAATGTGTCTTCATGGGGACACAGCAGTAAAGAAAAAGGGTGGTGTTTGAGAAGGCTGGGGTTTACATCAAGGTGGCTACATTCATTCATCCATCCCCTCTGCACCAAATAAATCTCTGTCACATCTGCCAGATTTACCCTTCACTGGGCATCATAGCGTTGGCAAAAAATGTGTCCCTCCCTAATCCACCTCTTCTTTATTCTCTGCCAGGCATGTCATGCAACAGAGTGAAGGCAACCCCTTTCCCCTCTCTTATTCATGAAAAATATTTTCATAACTAAAATGCCCAATTAAGAATTAAGCACCTCACTTTAGACTTCACTTCACTTGACAGTAATATGAGGGGAGGAGGGTGACTGTGCTGAGGCGCCCGCAGAGCTGGAGATCCATGTTAATAACACTTTATTAAGCATCCTAATGGGGTTTACTGGAGAGCTTGGTAAAACATAAATAATACAATGAAAAACAGTCTAGACATGCCAATTTGCTGTGAGACAAATGGGCCTTGACTTCAGGGGTAAGGTTCTGTAAATGTGTGGGTGCACAGAGCAGAAACAGATACCTTTTGTCTGTCGCTAGAGACAACAGACAGCCCCGTGGGTTTTTCTCACTCAGCAACAGCCAAACCTGTACTATGAATAGAACTTAAAAAAAATGTTAACTACTTCGTTTGTGTTTTCGTATATTGTCTGGAAAGATTAGTGACAGTAGCAGTTTTTCTTCGGCGCTTTGGATTTGCTAAATTGAGCATTGAGCTTCTTTCATAAGAGTTTATTCATCCATCATCTAATAGCCACCTTTCCTTAAAGACACACTGCAGATTTCGAAATGTAATCACAGACTTTAAATGTTAGATGGAAAGTGAAACTGCATGTGCTATCTTAGAATATCAGTCAGTTCAAACATGATGTGGTGAACAACAACATTTCAGTAATTGACGTACGAAGAGGTCCGTCACACAACATATCCCAAAGACTTTAACAAAACCTTAACACACACTTCTGCTGGTCATAAAACAAAGCTCAGACTATTGCAGAGAAAATAAAATAAGAAAATAAAGGAGGAATGTTTCCTACATTCCAATATCCATATATTTTTATTCCTTAAATATTCCAGTAACTAAATGACAGTGGCGAACCCCCTGACAAATGTCTCTGAATTACCCCTTACTGGATATATTTATGTGCATCAGATTCATGCTGGGTTTGATTGAATGACCTGAATTTAGAAAGGTGAAGCCAGAGATCTTTGATAAGGACTGCCCAGTTATTTGAAATGGTGGAAAAAAGGCAATAAAGACTGTGCACAGAGCCACATTCATAATGTGGACCGGCACTTTGCATCGCCTAATGTTGTCATTTCACTTCAGATAATTTGTTTACCATTGGACCGCTCCTGCATTTCCACACACTCCAGCGCTATTTTCCCCTCAGTGCTAACTGCCCCCAATTTCATCGCTCTTTGCCAATCAGGCCTGGAAATTACCGTTACGGACACACATCCAGCCCACTTCAGAGAAATAATCAGCATGCTGTCTCCTATGCGGCCACATAGCACCAAAGCTTAGCCCAGGATCATTATCAAAAACTATTGCCCCTCTGGCCTGGGTATTTTATACCAGCAATTTAGAAACCCAGGAAGGCGTCAGAATATGGAAGAGTGGGTGAGTTAGTTATATGTGTTGTAGTTTGGCAGCCAATGAGCACAATTTATTTTTCATGACATTTCTCCTGGTAGTTTTCTGTGGCATGTAATTGTGTGTGTGTGTGTGTGTGTGTGTGTGTGTGTGTGTGTGTGTGTGTGTGTGGGTGTGTGTGTGTGTGTGTGTTATTTTAATCTTTTTCTAATCTACTGGTAGCCTACCCATAGGTGACAGGGGCTAGACGCTTTTGATAAAAGTGAGAGTTAACAGACAAAAAGTTATACATCCTATTGCAACAACCACCAGGACATAAGTCGAAGGAAAAATATCATCCACTCTCCCGACAGGGGCCCCTA